TTTCAAACAAATTCTAATTCTCAATTATTAGTTATTCATCTATCTTACGCTACAGTTAACAATGCCTGGGAGAGGATGAGGAGGAGGCGGATGAGGCTTAGGTGGCAATGGTGGCCGTAGAGGAGGTGGCAGAGGACAAGGGCGTGGTGGATGCGGGTATGAAGGCAACGGCAGTGGAGGTCGTGGCCGTGGTGGCAGTGGCGGCAACGGTTGTGGCCGTGGTGACCTAATTATTTAGTTACAGACAGTGAAACGATAATATAATTATTTAGTATTAGAGGCTATAAATATCGTTTGAAGTGCTTTTTGTCTTTATATTTTGAAAATTATAAACAAGTTTGGAGTATTATTGTAAAATTTAGTTTATTATTTTTTTAATTTAAAATATACAATAACCATCTTGGTTTTTTAGTCATTTTAACAGCCATGGATCATTGACTTCAAAATTATGACGTCAAAATTATGACGGTCAAGGAGGATTTCTATAGTTATAAGAAAACTCAAGGAGGGATTAGTTTTTAGGATATAGTTCTAGGAGTATTTTGTCCTTATCCCAAAAAAGAGAGAGAAGAAACTTTTTTGAAAAAAGATAATTAGGTCAATCAAACATAATTAAGTTTAATTAAGCCTCACCAACATGCACATCTTCTGCCCAACTAAGGACGGTGCTTCAATATTTTTAAGCCTTTGGACTAAATATTTCTCACAAGTTTTAAACTATCCATTAACTTCTTTTCTTTTGGCCTTTTTTTGCACTATTCATAAACATTGTTTGTCTTTGTACAAATGGTAAAGTAATTCAAAATTTTGTTTTTCTTATTTTATAATTTCTATTTAAATTTGTTTACCCTGTCCATCGAACGGGTTTTACACCTTGTATTAATAGTAGTAATAGAATTTGTTTTGGTTTGAACTCTCAAAAGATGATCTTAAAACAGTAAATTGGCTAATAATTTCAAGCCACACGTCTAGAAATCATCATGTTTTAATATATGGTTTTACTTTTTAATAAACCTTTTTACTTTTTCTATAGTAAATTTCCAAAAACGTTAGTATCCAAACGGAGCCTTTTATATTATGGTGTGTCAAACTTTTTCCTTTAGAGAGAGAGAGAGAGAGAGAGAGAGAGAGAGAGAAAGAAAAGAGGAGAAGCCGATTTGCGACATATGGTACTTATCATCCTTATGAATATATAGGATCTTTTTGGGTGATCTTTTGTCCTATCTTACTATCTTTACTTGATGTTATAGTAAGCCCAATTAAATAGTTCTGCTTGATATTTCATCTTTGTTATTCGATTCGATAGTAAAATCGAATAAGATTGTGAAATTTAAAATATTAGTAAGAAAATAAAATTTTTGCTTTCATAAATAGCTAGAGCTAGAGGAAATTATGATTAGTTGGAGTATTTCTTTATAATTACCATATCACAGTGTTCATAACCACACTAACTTTATGGAGATTTTTTTTTTGGTGGTTAATGAGGATATTATGAGATTTTTTTTTCCAATGTTGCTATATAATTAGAATAACTATTTAACCAACTTTAAAGATTTTTATGAAAATTCACTAGCAGCACAAAGCTCGGAGGAGCGCAATAATTCGAGTTTTCATCATAAATATTCATCGTGGTTGAAACCATAAATATTCATTGTGGTTGAAAAGTTCAAAAGAGTGCAATAATTCAAATCTCTAGCATAAATACTTATCGTGGTTGAAACGTGCTGTTATTGGGACGTCATACTTTCATTATAACAAAAATCTTTTTGCAGACTTTGAATGAATCTAAATACGTCAACAATCAATTATTGTTTTAACAATGTGATATTGATTCACAAACCAAGATACATCGACCAATGACAAATATAATACTCGTTTACGAATCACGAGACATCGACCGATGACAAACGTGATACTCGTTTACTGACCACGAGACATCGGCCGATGACAAACGTGACGTCGTTTACGGATCACGTGGCATCGGCCGATGACAAACGTGATGCTTGTTTACGGAGCACATGGCATCGGCCAATGAAAAACATGAGGCTCGTTTACGGACCACGTGATATTGGGCGATGACAAACGTGAGGCTCATTTTCGGACCACGTGACATCGACCGATGACAAACGTGACGCTCGTTTACGGACCACGTGACATCAACCGATGACAAACGTGATGCTACGGACCATGTGACAACGGCCGATGACAAACGTGACGCTCCTTTACGGACCACGAAACATCGGGCGATGGTTGTTTGTCCGTGTCCATCAATATAAAATTTCTATATCAATTTTATAATAAATAAATATATACTATTTCTCTAACACTAGCAACAATATTTCTTATATCTTTAGACTCGAGGCATTAGTTGTGGAAAATTATAATTTCATCAAGGTAAATTTTATAATTGTGCAATCGAAACACTGTAAAAAGAGTATCCAAAAAAAATGCAATTTCCCACTATGTTTTTTTTACCGTGTGTAATAATTAAGAATATGAGTCTATATTGGGTGCACCCGGGAGCATGGTGCACCCCTTCTTATTTTTTACATTTATAGTCCTTATTGTACATTTCTTCAATCTTTTTATATTTTATAAGTTTAGTCCCTGCCACTCTTTTCTCTCTCCTATAAAAAAACATCTCTAATTTTCAAACGAGCATATAGCTAAATCTGTGAAGAATTAGAAAACGTGTTGCACATGAAATTTCTTGTATTTGTCGAGATCTATACAACAAAATCGATATTAAATATTTTTTCTAACTTGAAAATGACTAAATTTTGATGGGCACAAATAAAGAAATTTGTATGGATATCTAGTTTAGAAAAATAGATAACCAACTTATTTTAAATTGATATTCTTGTATTGCATATATCTCACAATCCGTAAAGAATTGGAAAACGAATTACATATAGAATTTATAGTACTCGACGAGATCTATCCAACAGGATCTACATCGAATATTTTTTTTCAGACTTTAAACGCATTTAAATTTTATCTGCAGCAATGAAGGAATATATATTTTGAAAACACTTATCCATTGTGTTTATACTAATTATTCCACTGGTTTGGACTGATTATCTATTTTATTTATAATGGTTATCTAATCATATTTTTGACATTCACTCCTCTTCAAAAAAGAAAAAAAGAAAAAAATGAATAAAATATTTAGATAAATATTACAAAAAATTTGAATAATCAGTGAAAATAATTGGATAAACAGTACAAACTGGTTGGATAATCAGTACAAAAAATTAGACAATCATTTTCATAAAAAGAAGTAAGGGGAAAAAAAGGTTGGATAACCATCACCAAGAAGTTAGATAATCAGTACGAACACATTGGACACATATTTTATCAAAAAAAAAAAAAGATATTATGTTTGGATAATCAGTGAAAATGATTGGATAACCAATACAAAACAGTTGGATAGTCAGTACAAAACAATTAGACAAAGATTTTCGCAAAGAGTAGAGAAAAAAAAAGTTAGGATAATCTATACCAAGCAGTTGGATAGTCAATATGAACGCGTTGGATAATCATTTTTTTCCAAAAAAAATAATGAAAAGACAAACTAGGTTGGATAAGCAGTATTATCTAATTAAATAATCAGTATTAACACATTGCGCAATGATTTTTTTAAAAAAATTGGATAACCAGAACAAACGAAATGGATAATCAGTTCAAAATCAGTATGAATACAATTGATAACCATTTTAAGAAAAAATAGGTTAGGCAAGCATTACCAATTAGTTGGATAACAAGTATAAACATATCGGACAAATATTTTTATAAAAATAAAAATAAAAAATAGATGGAGAAACAATAGCACATGGTTAGATAATCAGTACGAACACATTGGACAAGTATTTCCTCAAAAGAAAAAAAAATAATTGGACAATCAATACAAACTTACAAGCAGTAAATATAATTGGATAGCCAATACAAAGCCATTGGATAATCACTATGAACACATTAGATAGCCGCGTTTTAAAAAAAAAAATTACATAACCAGTATAAACAAATGGATAACTAGTATTAGCGCATTGGACAATGATTTTTTCCAAACAAAAAAAAATGATTGGATAACTAGTACAAACAATTTGGATAAGCATATAAATCCGTTGGATAATCAGTACACATAAGTTAGATAGACATACAAACTAAATGGATATCCATTACAAATAAGTTGGATATCCAGTACAAACAAGTTAGATATGCATACAAACCCGTTGGATTACAACTACAAAACAAGTTGGATATGCATACAAATCAAATGGATAACCAGTTCAAACTGGTTGGATAATCAACACGAACACATTGGATAACCAATTTAAAATAAATTGGTTATCCATTTTGTTAAACTGGATATCCATCTTATTTTTGTTCATCAGAATTTAATCATTTTTAAGCCCGAAAAAAACATTTAATATGGATCTTCTTTACTGATCATGAGATATGCTCATTTGAAAATTAGAGATATTTGATAAGGAGAGAGGAAAAAAATGACATGGACTAAACTTATAAAATATCGGAAAATTGAGAAAAAGTACAATAAGAATTACATGTGCAAAAAATAAGAGGGGTATACCTCTCGGGTGCAACCAATAATTTGCCTAAAAATATCACTATCAATAAAATAAATGAGGGAATTACTCTTTTTTTTTTTCTTTTTTGCTATAAAAACCGGAGCACAAAATAAACAGACAACTGCGCGTCTTTTCCTTTTTTAGAACCGTTTCTACTACTTCAATAAATCACCCCATTACCCCACGACGCTTAATTTGTAGGAGTTTTTTTTTTTCTTTAAATAAATATATTCTCACACAGTCAGACAGTTCACGCAATAAGTCACTCATCCGACCCATACTTAACCACACCACCCTTTCCGTTTCTCAAGTCCTCTATGTGAAAAAAGATCTTTCTTCAGTTCGATGTTTCCAACCAAACTCTAATTCTCATAGTTATTCATACATCTCTATCTTACCCTGTCGTTAACAATGTCTGGGAGAGGAGGAGGAGGCGGACGAGGCTTAGGCGGTGATGGTGGCCGTGGAGGAGGAGGAGGTAGTGGCAGAGGACAAGGGCGTGGTGGACGCGGCTATGATGGCGGCGGCGGCGGTCGCGTGTGCCGTGGTGGCGGACGGGGTTGGGTCGTTCCTCCCGGTGGCGGTGGTGATGGAGGAGGACGGGGTTGGGCAGTTCCGCCAGGTGGTGGACGAGGTTGGGCAGTTCCGCCCACCAATGCTCCATCGCGGCCGCATGCGGCGGCTGGTCCTTCGTCGTCATCATCGGCGATCAGCCGAGAGTTTGAGAAGAAGCTGACTGTTGTTGATCATTCGGCTTCGACTTCTTCTGCTTCGGGCAGTGGCGGCGGTGATGCCGAAGCAATGCAGGTTCCGGTTCCCGTTCCGGTAAAGGTTCCGCCGTCGTCGACGAAGCATCTTAAGGTCCCAAAGAGGCCGGGTTACGGAACAGGGGGTAACAAAATTATGGTTAGGGCTAACCACTTTGTGGTTAGGCTTGTGAACAATGATCTCATGTTGCATCATTATGACGTATGTGTTTTTTTCCATCTCCTTTCTCCCCGATTGTTTTATTTATTATATATATTTTGCTGATTGATATCTTACCTCCGAATAATTTTGCGTCTTAATCGTGTCATTTGTGTTTCTCTCAGCTAAAATTTTAGTCATCGGTTTCTCCAATCGATGCTTGATTACTTCTTTTAGTAATTTGACGGGAAAGTTAGATATGCATATTCAGAGATATTTTTAAGTCTTAATTTCTTTTTTAAGTAATGAATATCGTGAAATTTTTGAAATCAAAACAAAAAGAAGAGTGGCAGTATTTGTTAAAATGTCCTTTTTTTTTTTTTGGCAATTTTTGTGCTGGACGCCTGGACCACTTTTTTTTAATCCATGACATATTATACTGACTGTGTTTGACCGATAACTCCACAATCTTGACTTGTCAAAGTATCTTACCACCAGTTTTTACTTCTTCTTTAGTTCTTTTTACTTGACAATTAATAGCAAGCTCTCTGATTTGATCTCATACAACTTTTCTGATTGTGATTACATAATATTTCCTCCTCCTTTTTGCATGTGTTTTTTTTTTTTTTTTTGGTTGGTGTATTTCTATACGTATGTTTTGTGAGTAATTATGTAATACTTGTGTGTGTGTGTGTGTGTGTTAGTTTTGAGGAGTCGGAATGAAGAATTTGTGGAGCTTTACGTAATAACACGATCATCTAAATAATTGTTTTTGGTTGTTGATGAATGTAAATAGGTGGCCATTTCTCCAGAAGTCAGGTCAAAGAAAGTGACCCGGGTCATCATGAAAAAGCTCCAAGATGCTCATAAGGCCTCAAATCTAGGGAACCGAATGCTGGCTTATGATGGAAACAAAAGTGTTTATACTGCAAACGAACTGCCCTTTCAATCCAAGGACTTCGTCGTTAAGCTTTCTAATCCTGGAGAAAGGCAAGTGTCTGAATGTAGTCATGAAATGTATGGATTTGTATGATAATTGTGCTCTTTTCTTACGTAAACACGGGAAAATTGGTTATGGAATTTCGTTCTTCTTTTTTTTTTTTTTTTAAGTTTTAATTTTTACATTTTACATATAATTTGGTGCTCCAGTGGCTTTTGTTCTCAATCTTCAAGAGCTGCCTGACAATTTGTGTTATGTTGTTGTCTAAAAGTCGATACATGCCTTCATAAGCTTTTCTCTCTCTCTTTTTTTTTAAAAAAAAATTAAAACTTTGCGGAATTCTGTTGTCTTCAGAGAGCGGGAGTTTAAGGTCACCATAAAGTTTGCTGCAAAGGTTGATCTTTATCGGCTTCAGCAATTTCTTAGAAGCAAGCAACTAGATGTACCACAAGAAACTATACAAGCGCTTGATGTGGTTCTCCGTGAAAAGCCATCGACCAAGTATTGTCTTAACTATTTGTTTCGAATTTATGTTGTGTTTGGGATGATCCTGTTTTTCTATTGATATGGTTTTGGCACCCGTTTGCTAGTTGGTAGAGTTCCTTGAATATCTAACGACTTTTCTTAGCAGTTATACAGTTGTTGGAAGATCGTTCTTCAATCCATCTCTGGGTGGTAGAGGTCCCCTTGGTGATGGCATGGAATACTGCAAGGGATTTTACCAGAGCATCCGCCCAACTCAGATGGGCCTTTCACTTAATATCGGTATGATCTTTTTTCGAGGGCAAAAAGAAAATAAGACTCTTGTTTATGAGATTGTGGTGTTACTACAAAACTGGAATGACTCGGTTCTTTTTTGCCCCTTTTGCTTCTTGTTTAGTTCATTCATGTGGTTTCTGTTTCAGATGTATCAGCAACATCATTTTATGAACCTACACCGGTGATTGATTTTGTCTCCAATTACCTAAGGAAGGACATTACAACTAGACAAATGTCTAACCTGGACTGGATCAAGGTACCCTAGAGTTATTTGTTTTTATTATGTCTTTACCACTTCAAGAGCAACATATACATTGGCTGTGGCGGTGGTGAATATTTTTTCTAGGTTTTGGATCTAAAGGTTGTGAAGTAATTGCTGTTACATTGTCCTTTTTTCTTTCCAGTTATAATGCATCTTTGCTTTGTTTGCTTATAGGTGAAAAAGGTCCTCAGAAATGTTAGGGTCAAAGTTACTCATGTGGAAGCTGCAAGACAGAGAGAGTACAAAATCTCCGGAATCACTACTGAATCCACAAGTCAATTATCGTAAGCTAGCTACTAGTGTCAGTTTATTAAGATTTCTTCATTTACTTTACTGTTAATATGAGATTGGGCTTTAGGATAGCTAAATTTGTTGTCTGGATGTCTTTACATTCTGCTGTTAATTGTCTTTTATTAACTTCGCAAAGAATGCTAGAACACAACATTTAATTCCTTTATTAAATCATGTAATGATGCAGGTTTGTTTTTGATGGAACCGATACAACGATAGTTGAATACTTCCGACAGAAGTATAACTATGTACTTCAATATCCATTATTGCCAGCACTTAAGAGTGGCAATGATGCAAGGCCTAATTATTTGCCCATGGAGGTTTTCAATTTGCCTGCACTTCTTTTCTCCTTTAGTTACATTCTATCTTTTGAGTTCAGCTAACACTGTACTGATGTAAAATTAAAGGTATGCAAAATTGTCCCGGGACAAAAGTATTTGAAAAAGTTGAATGACAAGCAAATCGTTGCCCTGTTAAAAGCTGCATGTCAAAGACCAGAAGTTAGAGAGCACGAGATTAGAGAAGTTTGTATCTATGGCTTTTATGATTTTATTCGGAGTCTTTTATTCGCTGTTTGCCTCATATAAGAAGATTTCTACTAATATTTCTACATTTTGTTTAGATTGTTCGCGAGCAGGAATACAATGATGATACACTTTTGAAGGAATTTGGAGTTCAAATTAACCCTGCACTTACATCCATCGAGGCACGGGTTTTGCCACCTCCCATGGTAAATATTTTAGCTAATCATCTTGGAATGTTCTCTGTTTTCCAATAGCATCTTAAGCTAATTGCCTTGGATTGAAACTATCTCTGATTTGGCTCATTTACGCGTTGTTGGATGTCCAGATCATGTATCATGAGACCGGGCAGGAAACATTGGTTAATCCAAACGTCGGGCAGTGGAATATGATTAATAAGGTTGGCTGTCGCACTTGACCCCTCCCTTGATATGAATCTTTTTTTACCTAACCTGAGAAATAATTTGCCTGGGAAGCATGTTTATCCTTTCAAGGACATCATGTGGGATCCCCTGTTGGATATTCTTGTACATGTGACTGTATTGAGTGGCAAGTGCTCTTCTGTTCTATATGTTATCTCTGATCTCTATGTTGTTTTTCTTACAACTTTCACTATGTTACTGGTTCAGAGAATGATTACCGGTGGGAGGGTAGACCACTGGGCTTGTGTTAGCTTCTCAAGAACTGCCAACGCTAACAAGTTCTTTAGAGATTTGATTGAAATGTGCACCAGCAAAGGAATGGTATTGTCAATCTTTTCATACAGTAGCAAGTTATTAGGTGGTCTCGTTACATGAAGCTTGATCATGCATTGGTGTTGCATCAGGTATTCCGTTCCGAGCCATTGATTCCAAATCAAGTAATCACCAATGGTCAGATTGAGAAGGCTTTAATTGATATTCACAACAAGTCTATTGAAGAATTCAAAAACTCGAAAACAGGACCGAAACAGCTCCAGTTGTTGTTGATAATTTTGCCAGATATGAAGGGATCATATGGTGAAGTGACAATATCTCATAAGTTAATTATTATTGGTGCTTTGTTATTTGTCTTCACGGGCCATATTTCTTGTTGCAGATATGATCAAGCGAATTTGTGAAACTGAGTTGGGGATTGTCTCACAATGTTGCCAACCAGACAAAGTAGCTCGAGCTAATAAGTCGCTTCTTGAGAATTTAGCCCTTAAGATTAACATGAAGGTTTGCGTCTTATTATTATAATTTTCTTATATTCATTTCCTTGACATGCAATCAAGGATATTGCATTATCGGATATCATGTTGTGTTGTCTCCTTTCTTTCGGACTAGGTTGGTGGGAGGAATTCTGTTTTACAACAAGCAATTCAACGCAAGATTCCATTTCTGACTGACCGGGTTACTATAGTTTTTGGTGCTGATGTAACTCACCCTCAACCCGGGGACGACTCTGCTTCTTCAATTGCTGCTGTACACCTTATTCGCCTTTTGTTAAATCATCGTGTTTCTCTTTATTCTTCCCTTCCTTTCCTTTGATTGTTATATTTACCTATAGGTTGTTGCTTCAATGGATTGGCCGGAGGTTACTAAGTATCAGACGCGAGTATCTGCACAACACCATCGACAGGAGATAATCCAAGATTTGTATAAAGAAACACAGAATGGCCAAGTGAAAGGAGGAATGATAAGGTGAGTTTCTCATTGATTTGAAGGTGATAAGGCAAGTTTCACATTAGTTTGATAATTATGCTTGCGTGTCGGTTTGAAATGCTGGACTTGCCTCGCAGGGAGCTGCTGATTGCTTTCAATAGATCAACAGGACTATGGCCGGAGAGCATTATATTTTTCAGGTTTTTTTTAGCTGCTTCATGTATATATATATAAATGTGGTCAATAGGGTACTGTTGGTGACAATTTTTGCATTTGCAGAGATGGAGTTAGTGAAGGTCAATTCAATGATGTGTTGAGGTTTGAGATAGATGCAATCTGGAAGGTATCGTATATTTTAACGTATTTTTATGTGTATCTTAAACCACTTTATCCTTGGGCAAGGAAGTAATCCTTGTAATCCCGAATCATTAATATCCTAACTATTTTGCATTGTAATTACTTGTGTAAAAAAAAATTTTTTTTTTCAGGCTTGTCAATCAATAAGACCAGATTATTTGCCTCGAATGACTTTTATTATCGTGCAAAAGAGACACCATACCCGTCTTTTGCCTATGAATCACAAGGATCGCCGTTCAACCGACAAGTCTGGCAATATTATACCAGGTTTTACAATCTATATATATATTCCAATTAAATATAACTATTCTTTTAATTTTTTTTGTTATTATAACTAATTATTATTCGTGTTTTAATCAGGGACTGTTGTCGACACTCAGATTTGTCACCCAACTGAATTTGATTTTTACCTCTGCAGTCATGCTGGTTTACAGGTATTAATTAAGTTTCTCATTAATCCTAATATTATAAGCTTTCTTATTTATTTAGTTGATATTAATACGATTCAGTGTCATCAGGGTACAAGTCGTCCTGCTCACTACCATGTATTGTTTGATGATAATGGGATAACTGCAGATCAGTTGCAGACATTAACCAACAATTTATGCTACACGTAAGCTTTGTTCCACCTTTTATAGTTCACGTAATATACATGGAAAATTTTTATTATGTAGTTTGAAACTTTTAAATTAAGCTTCTTACCCCTCTTTCTTATTTGTAGGTACGGAAGGTGTACTAAGGCGGTTTCCTTAGGTTAGTAAGCTGTTTGAGTATGATTAAAACATTAACATATCCTCAGTTTTTTCTTTGAATACTAGTGACGATATTTTTTCATTTGATCTCACAGTAACCCCTGCATATTATGCTCACCTAGCTGCATTTCGAGCTCGCTGCTACCAGCCCCAGGAAGGCGGGTATTCTGACAGTGGATCTCGTAGTGGTGGGAGTGACCGGAACAGGGCAACAAGATCTGAGACGGTGGGCGAAGTCAGGCAACTGCCTGCCATCAAAGAAAATGTGAAGGAGGTCATGTTCTTCTGCTGAGGAGAACTCCGGCTGTGAAAATGTCGTTGATGATGTTTGCCTTTTGATGAACAAGTTTCTCTTTTGTAACAAAACCCAGACTAAATGTTTCACTTAAAAACTTCAAACGTTTCTGTTTTCTATGATAGTGGATTTTTCGGGACCTTTTTGTTTTGGGAATATTGGTGAGTTTTGCTTCTGGTGAATGAATCTTTAAACAGGCCTCGCTTGCTAGTGCAAGCACGAGCACCGGTTCTGGAATGTGGCCCCGGTTTGAGTTTTTTGCCGATAATTTAAAACATTACAATTGACCAGTGTTGAATTCAGTTTTTACTTTTTAGTTTGAGTAATCTAGTCAAACGGTTCTTTACATTTATCCACAAAAATTTTTTTGACTCATAATATTAACAATTCATTAGTTTGGTCTATTATATTTGTATTTTCACCTTATTTGGTCCTTTTTGGTTTTTTGAAATCTTAAATTATTGTTCATTGGCGTGGGGCTGGGGCCTTGGCCAGTGCTTATCTTAGCCGGTAAGACCAGGCAAACAGACTAGCAAGGAAACCAGGCCGGAATCCAAACCACCACCCTGGCTGATACCATTCATCCGGGAGCTATGCCATGTCAGCCAGCTACAGGATCAAAATCTCTATCCATCCTTAATTAAAATATCAATAATCGAGATGCATGGAAAAGTTTCACCCAACTCTCAAGCCTGTCTGGAATCCACAACTTATTGTGCATCATGTGGCCTCTTTTTCCCCTTAAACAATTCATCATAACGGGTACTTTTCCAGCCCAATGCACTTATTGTTGAGTTTTCCGACTGAACTCGGAATCGGAACCAATCTCAAATCATCGTATTTTAATTAAAAGAGAAGAAGGAGATAGAGCTTCCATGTATAATTTATGTAAACAAAAGCCAAATGTTTGATTCAGACAAACTATTTACTCAGACATTGTCTGAGTACTTCAAACTATAAATTAAAACAAACTTAAAAGAAAAAATTACCTCTAAAAACTTCTTCTATTCTTCAAACTTGCAGGATATATTTACTAAATGATTTCTTTACAAGGGAGTGAGAGAATTTCGAGAAAAAGGAAGAAGAAAAGAGAGAATACTTGGAGAGAATGATGCCCTCCAAATGAGCTTCTACCTTCTATTTATAGACATTTCTAAATACTATTTTACAAAAAATTATTAATTCTTGTCATTATTTGACATGTTTTTCTTCAGATTTGACTGATGGTGGGGTCCACTTGTATTAAATTTCAAAAGTAGATTCCTACTTTTGTCATTTCATTCTTTTTCTTTTCCTTTGGCTGATTGAGCTGTTTCTTGAATCTGCTGTAACAGATTTTTGATGAATTCATCGTGATCGTCATCTTTTTCTGGTGACTGAGATTCTCCGGCCAATACTGCAAAAGAATTTTCTTCATTGGAAGTTATACTCTTCATCGAAACATCTGATTTTTCTGAAATATCATCATTGTCGAGATTTTTTAAATTTCTCATGAGATCTGCTTTAACTTCTTTCATATAGGCGGATATTATCTCTTCCTTATTAATTGCTCCTTGCTGAAGCTGAATCCGTTTTGTGATGTGTTTGAACGGACTTTCTTCATCTGGTTTTGCTTTGAGCTGTTCTTTGTCTTGAGTATATTCCTTGATTTTCTGGGCAATTTCGTCCAGCAAATCTTGTCCTTCCATTCTTTTGGTATTGTGATTCATCTTTGTTAATTTATCCCAAAATTTGGTATAATATGTCTTATAAAGACACGGAATTTGAAATTCATTGAATCCCACCTCACGGACCCATTTATAAATCCAAGGAATCGAGAATTCAATAAAGAAGTATAACAGAGTGATTTTTCCTGGAGCACAGATATGACTGTGTTGAAGTTTATCAATGATAGGGGAGGATTTTAACCATTGATAATATAATTTTGAAAAATTATCTGGCAAAATTTTTTTGTTGGGCCATATAATGCCCACCACCGAATAAACCAATTGGGTATGGGAGAAGAATATACATGGGAGCATATTTTAATGAACCAAGTATGCTTTTTCTGGGTTTTCATAATAAAAAGTTTTGTAAAAACTTTGAATATAATCCCAAGAAGTAAATTTCAAAGGAGGAGAAGTAGGAGTATTACGTACTTCTCTTCGAAAGGGTTGAAATTCTCCATTCCTCAGAAGATAAAATCTTTTTGATAATAATTTTTGAGAAGTTATAAACTTCAGTTGTAGTCTGATTAGACTGAAAATGTGTTATTTCACATGTTTGTTTGAGAATATTCTCATAATAATTTCTGGGTTTGTATGACTCACCCGGTATCATTACCCTTCTCGCTAGATATCTTCGAATATTACCCATGGATCATTTTTCCACCGAATATCGCGTTTTCAAGAAGGAATATTACCTCCTTTGTGGATCCTTTTTCATATGACCGGATATCATCCTGGTCAGTGTCACTTACTTTGGCAGCAAAGGTATCACTTTGTTGCTCTTGGATATGATCCATAATCTGCTTATATAATGCAGAATCATTCTGAATAAAATCCATTATTTGGACCAATTTCGCATTCGATGAGGAGGATTCCTCCTGAGATTTTGAAAAATCAGCAGCTATTAGCTTTTTATTCCCATATTGTATTACAGGGTTTATTGTTCTTCCTCCACGACCTCTATTAGGGCCGCGTCCTCTATCGGGCGGATACATAATCCTGTAAAATTAGAGAATTATTAATGATAATTTTGCTTTACAATAATTCAACCTTTCTTCACTTTCGCTTAATCTTTCAAAGAAGTCTTCTATCATGTCATAGACAAATTCAAGGTCTTCAAATGATGTTATCTGTTGTGGTGAAGTAAATTCATCAAGACAATCAAGAATTGTATTACGAACTCGTAAAAGTGATTTAGTCTATGCTTCGCAAAAATATATTCCGTTCTACAATGCTTATATTCAGCAACAATCTTATTATAAGCAATATGTATTACGGATAGTGGTTTAAGATAATTAACTTGTGGCCACTCCATCCCGCAAATATTCACGTGATAAAAATCGGGTAAAGAATTATCACTACCTTTTTATATAAAATTTCAAAATCAAAAGGGGCTAAATTAGCTCTGCCATCGGGCATATATTTGCTTTGAAGAATCATGCTTATAATCTTTATAAATCATGTGTTTAACAATAAGTGCATCAGTGTGAATGACAAACGACCGATTAAATAAATCATCTTGGAATTTTAATACACATTTTACAATAGCAAGAAATTCTTGTGCAACAGCTTGCATATTTCTTTTGAGGTTCTCGTCCATTTACCGAATGATATCTAATAAGATATTCATTATTATCATGAGGGTTAATCTGTTTCAAGATTCCACCGAATCCTATGCTACTAGCATCGCTTTCTATTATCTTTTTCCAATTTGGATTTGCTAATGTTAAACATGGTAGAGTTTTTACTTTTCTTTTATTTGCTTAACTAATTGAGTATGCTTTTCTGTCAATGAAATTTAATTGATTTTTAAGCAAATCATATAGAATTGCTAAATCTTTCGTAAATTCTTATAGTATGGTGAAATATAATTTAAACTTCCTAGAAATCTCTGGAGTTGAATTTTCTCGGTGAAAACATCAGAAATTTAGAAGAAAATTCAATTGATCGTTGAATAGGGTTATTTTCCCTTGACTTATTTGATGACCAAGAAATCTTATATTATGTTGAAACAAAAGCATCTTTGGTTTAGATATTACTAAGCCATTCCGTAAAATAACATCCTTTAATATATTAAGATGTTTAAAATGTTGTTCAATATTATCGAGAATACTAAGATATCATCAATGTAAACAATTATAAAATCCATATAATGAATAAATATATCATTCATGATTTTCTCAAATTCGAAGGAGCATTTTTAATCCGAATGGCATCACATTCCATTCAAATTGTCCTATAGGCACATTAAAAGCAGTTCTATAAGTATGCTCAGATTTATTTGAATTTGCCAATATCCGATTTTAAATCGAATTTAGAAAATATGTTGGCATTATATAATTTTGATAATAAATCTTTTTATTAGGTATTGGATATCTTATCCATTTTAAAACTTTATTAAGTGGCTTATAGTTTATTACTAATCTCGGGACGCCACGTTTTTTTATTTGCATTATTAACATAAAATGCAGACATGACCAGGAGATTGTGAAGGTTTTATTAAACCCTTTTGAAGCAAAGAATGTAATTCTTCTTTACATAAATTCATATATACAGAATTCATTTGACATGGTCTTGCCTTAGTAGGAATATTCTTTTCATTAAAATTATCTTCATAAGGAAGATTAACTAAATGTTTCTTTCTATTCCAAAAAGCATTTGGGTGATCAGCACATACTGATTCTTGAAATTGTATTGTGATATGTTTTATTTTTTCTTGTAATTTAGTATTACTCAATAATTCAGGTATTGATAAATTCATAATTTCATTTTTAATGAAAAATAATTGTTTTTCTTTAGCTTCTATTAATGACCTAATAGACCTTGTTATAGGGTCTGAGACAAACTGGAAATTTATTGATTTATCTTTATAGGTTCCTATAAAACCTTGAAAATTAACTTCTTTAAGTGGATATAACATACATAAAAATGGAAGTCCTAATATAATAGGCACTCCTGGCATATTTCTTACTAATAAAAATGTTTGTGGAAGACAAATATTATCTTGACAAACAAAAGCATTAGGCAATTTATATGAGATATCTAATGTATGATTAGATGCGGATTTTAATGCATGCGAGGTTTTTTCAAAATATTGCGTGGGTATTAACCCTTCTTGAACACAAGACAAATCAAGACCACTATCAATCATTGCAATGTTGTTTAAGACAAATTGCCTATCTATCATTAGAGTTAATTTTATATACCATCTTTGGGATGTAATTATTTGTATTGTTTTTAAGAATTCGTAATTATGATCTTCAGATATATTTTCAGCTAAATTCTGAATAG